TTAGTTTTTGGTGGACACAACATCTTTATTTTATTTTATTTTTTATGTGGTGCTGAGGTTCAACCCAGTGCCCCTCGCATGCCTTGCGAGCACGCTACCGCTTGAGCCACATCCCCAGCCCCAAATGTAATGTTCTTTGTTTTTAAAAAATATTTTTAATTGTAGATGAACACAATACCTTTATTTTATCTATCTATCTATCTATCTATCTATCTATCTATCTATCTATCTATCTATCTATCTATCTATCATGCTGAGGATCAAACCCAATGCATCACAGGTGCTAGGCAAGTGCTCTGCCGCTGAGCCCCAGCCCACTTAATGTCCTTTGAATGGCTCAAACCATGGCCAGGTACCAAGCAATGGGCCTAGTTTTGGAGCTAAATTCAGTTAATTGACCATTTGTGAGGTCTTAGGTTTGGTTTCTACAAAGGCATTTGACATTTAGCCCCAGCAAGAGCACATGACTGACCAATGGGGTCACAGGGAGATCTACAGGCACAAGCCCATCCCTTTTGAGACAGCGGTGGTATTTCCATTGTTTGCATGCACTTTTTCAGGACTCATCAAGAGTTGACTTGAGAACAAATTAAGCAATGTTCTAGTTTAGCTGCCAGCTTGCAATGGGGGAAAGCATAACCAGCTACACATCAAGGAAACGCTGTCCATTCAGGGAGGAAGCCAGTTGAGATTATACAAAAGCCTGATGCTATTTCATGGGGCTAAAGAGAACATTCATTTAGTCTTTCAAACGTAATGAATGTGGTGGAATTAGAATAAAATAAGTCATGCTAGGTGGATCATTAAACACTTTAAAATATACCAAAGGTAGCCATGTGACTATAGGGGCAGCACTGTGGTTTTATGGTGTCCCCTGAAAAACTTGTGTTGCCCATGTGATAGTTTTAAGAGATGGGTGACTCAGGAAATTGAAGTGGAAGGATTGCAAAGTTCAAGGCCAGCCTCAGCAATTTAGCAAGATCCAATCTCAATTTTTTTTTAAAAAAGGGAGTGGGGGCGTGGTTCAGTGGTAAAGTGTTTGCCTAGCATGCAAGAGGCCCTGGTTCAGTCCTTGGCACCAAAAAAAAAAAAAAAATTCTTTTTAAAAGACTGTGTTAAAAGCTCAATATTAAAGCACCCCTAGGTTCAATCCTCAATACTGCATACTGCAGAAAAGAAGAAGAGGGAGATGTGGCCTTTAAGAAGTGATTAGCCTAGAGGGGCTGTTCCCTCATTAGTGTTCGATGTGGCATTCAGCTAGTGTATCCTTCGACTTTCTGCCATGTGAGGATACAACAATAAGGCCTTCATCAGACAACTAAACCAGCCAGTGCAAGTTTCTGCTCTTTATAAATTACCCAGTCTCAGGTATTTTGTTGTAGCAGCACAAAACAGACTAAGACAATGAATCTGGGAATAGTCTCCAAAGGGGAGGCTTTAGGCTATCTCTTGGAGCTCTGTGTTTGGGAGACCTGACAGCTGGGGGCACCTCATCAGAGGTCTGGTGACAGAGTTACACAGGCTCCTGAGCCTGTCTGTGAGTCAGCAGCAGCATTGCCTTGCTGCTATTGGAGTCTCTTCCTGGGTCCACACAGAAAAACTGTTACCTGTCAGTCACCTGCAGGAACCCGGAAAAAAAAAAGGAGGATGAGGGCTGGGGCTGTGGCTCAGTGGTAGAGCGCCTGCCTCGCGTGTGTGAGGCACTGGGTTCGATCCTCAGCACCACATAAAAATAAAGATATTGTGTCCATCTACAACTAAAAAATATTTTTAAAAAGGAGGATGAGAAAGTTCAGCTACAGATTTGGGTCCCGTTGGTAGGATCTGGAGTTTGATTGGGGGATTTATCTTCTCCCCACCCTGCTTGACTCCGTTCTGGTTATCATAGCCATCTGTCTCTCAAGAGCAGCAGGGCAGAAAGTCACAGTCTGGTCCCCCATGATTTCCTGCCTGTCATGGTTAGCTGATTTCCAGCAGATGCTATGTAGCCAGGAGGCAGAGCACAGGCCACCCTGGGTGTTTGGGGGAGGCTGACAGCCAAAGTGTGGTGGCCTCACTGATTCCTGGGAAGACCTGGGCATGGGGGTTTGGGGCCTGGGTGACTTGTTTAACCTCTCTGTATCCCAGTTCCCACTGATCAAAAATTAAGTTTATAATGGTGACCCAGCATTCAGAAATTATCTCACATATACTTAATCAAAACAGTGTTTTAAAAAATACTTGGTTTTAGTTGTAGGTGTACACAGTATCTTTATTTTATTTACTTATTTATTTTTATGTAGTGCTGAGGATCGAACCAGTGCCTCACATGTGTGAGGCAAGCACTCTACCGCTGAGCCACAACCTCAGTCCCTCAAAAGAGTCTTTGATGCCAGTTGTAAAGGAGTTGGGGTGGTTGGGAGGCCTTGGAATTCAGTTTGGTGGAGGCTGTGTGTTTTTGAGCAGGCAGGGAGTTACAGGAATCAAACGACTGCAGTTTTGAGGAAGAGGGGAAATAATTGACCCTGTCATTCTGACTGACAATGTCTCTTGATTAAAAATAACAGGCTCAAGGGAAGGATGACATTTTCTATGCCTGTATTTTCTTCTTGGGTTTTTTCCTCCTTCCTTCTTGAGCCCAGAGAAGTGCCTCTCCTTTCACACATCTTCCTCCTCAATCACTTAGAGCTGAGAGCCCAGGATGAGGGACACAATGTGATTTCTCTTTCTCACCTCCTCCCTTGGTCTAGCCCTCTACAATCACTGCCCGCTGGCAACTTTGTCATGTTGTTGAAGCTCCTAACATTTCTGGATCCCTGAATAGGGGTGAACTGTGTCCAGCTGGTCCCCCTCCCCCATAAAGCCAGCTGGTACAGGTTGGAGATGCTCAGACCATTGGATAGCATTTTCAGGAATTCAGTGCTCCCCAAATGCCCCAGGTGTCTCATGCCCAATTACTCTGTTGCTACACTGTTTTCCTAATTAGTTTTTTTCCCCCAATACTGGGGATTGAACCCGAAGGCACTTAACCACTGAACCACATCCTCAGCCCTTTTTTATATTTTATTTAGAGACAGGGTCTCGCTGAGTTTCTTAGGGCCTCACTAAATTTCTAAGGCTGGGTTTGAACTTGGCGATCATCCTGCCTCAGCCTCCAGAGCCACTGGGATTATAGGCGTGCACCACTGCACCCGTCCTCCTAAGTGGTTTTCCCAGTAAATTTTTTTTTTTTTGAGAGAGAGAGAGAGAGAGAGAAAGAAAGAATGAATTTTAATATATTTTTTTTAGTTTTCGGCAGACACAGCATCTTTGTTTGTATGTAGTGCTAAGGATCGAACCCAGGCGAGCGCGCTACCGCTTGAGCCACATCCCCAGCCCCTCCAGTAAAATTTTATGCACATCTTTTTTCTTTTTCTTTCTTTTTCTGGGCAGCATTGGGGATCAAACCCAGGGTCTTGTGTAACACCACTAGTCCATTCTTGCCTATCTTTTGTTGTGTTTTTTCCTTGATATCTTACATTATTGTTGCTGAAATATTTTCCACCACCAGCCCACATCCACCTTCCATATCCATGACTTCCTCTTTCCCTCTTTCCTGTGTCTCTATTTCAGGAACAGTCAGTGGAGTGGGAAGGGGCTGGGGAGTAGCTGAGATAGGCAGCTGAGAGAGGGACAGGGTGAGGGAAGAGCAGCTTCAACAGCTGGCTGAGCACCTTGGGGAATGTGTGGTTGTTGTGGAGCTGAGCTCTTAATGAGATCCCGTGTTTCCCTGCTTTGAAGAACATCCTCAGGGTCAAGAGCTAGAAAAGAGTGGAAATGAAGGATTGGCTATAAGATCAGCATGCAGATTAAACAATTGAGCAATAGATTGGCTGTGGGTTTCCCAGAATTGAACTGGCTCTTATAATCTGCCCTAGCACAACTAGTTTACCCCAGGTTTAGAGCTCTTACCTCATAAATGGGAGCAAGCAGCAAGTAAACAAGGGGTAGGCTTTGAAGCTAGAGAGACCTGATGTTTCAGTTAGGTTTTGCATCACTGTGTCCAAAAGTCCTGGCAAGAACAATGTAGAGGAAAAGTTTAGTTTGGCTGGCTCATGGTTTTAGAGGTTCAGTTTATGGTGGGCCAACTCCTTGGCTCTGGGCCTGAGGTGAGGCAGAACACCATGGAGGAAGGGTGTGGCAGGGGAAAGTAGCTCAGGATATGGCAACCAGGAAGCAGAAAGACAGAATGTATACTCCAAAGGTACATCCCCAGTGACATACTTCCTCCAGCCACACCCTACCTGCCTATAGTAACCGTCCAGTTAGTCCACGGATCAGGCCACATCTCATAATCTAATAATTTCATCTGTGAACAAAAGCACTGTTTCACACATGAGATTTTGGGGACATTGCATATCTAAACCATAACATCTGGGCTCCACCTTTAGCTGTTCCCTTAATATTGTGTGCCTGCCAGCAAGTCAGCCCTCTGGGCCTCAGTTTTCTCATCCATAAGATGGGAGCAATAAGACTACCTACCTTGTACTGTGAAATGCCAAGCACCTGATACATAATGCATAGAATTTAGTATATTGCTCTGGCTGATACTAGTTTTATAGCAGGGAACACTGTTAGAATAATTGCTACTACTACCTATGCTGCCTTTTTTTTTTTTAAGTACTGGGATTGAACCCAGGGGTGCTTTACTACTGAGTTACATCCCCAGTTCTTTATTTATATTTATATTTGGGTGCAGGATCTCAGTAAGTTGCTGAAGCTGGCCTCAAACTTGTGATCCTCCTGCCTCAGCTTCCCAAGTTGCTGGGATTATAGGCATGTGCCACCACGGCCAGCTCAACATTTTGTTGTCTGTAAGGCCCAGTGCATAGTAGCAGCACAGTAAACATTTGTAGAACAAACAGGTAAAAATATCTGAGACCACAGCCTGTTTTTGACAGGAGCCTAAGAAAGCTTGTTTCAGTGGGCCCTTTACCTTTTGGTGTAAAGCCTTTTTGGGTACAACCATGCCTGGTCTCACCTAGTTTGTAAACAACAGCTATTCAGATGTTCCATCTGGCTAAGGATGACTCCTACAAGCTGGTCAGCTCCCTTGGAATGGGGCATCCTGAGTGTTTCCCAGGCCCTATGCTGGGACAGCTCCCTCTTCTCTGACCACAAAGACTCCTTGCTAGCCAGCCCTGATCCTGATCTCCCCTGCATACTCTGAGCTCATATTCCTGACCCTACTTTGCCTTCTTTCCTTTCTCCTATTCCTGCAACCTGACCATCACCACTCAAGAAACACTAAATCACCTACTATTTGCAGGGGCCCAGATCATACATTTGAGCTCTTGGTCATATATTACCTTTGCTCATCCCTGGGGCTGAACAGATCCCAGTGTCCTGTTTTCCAGTCTTGAAGAAAGAACTTGGTGGACTCAACAGAGAGGATTCGGACATTTTATTACATGTTCCTTGGCAATGGCAGGCCAGGATACAATGGAGAAACTGCCCTGTGCCTATAAGCAGAGGGAATTTGTAGGATAGGCTGCATGCCTACTAGGCAGTGGACTTCTTCAGATGTTTTATGAGTGTATTCTTTTACTTTACAACCAAGGTCACTCTGCTTTGATCCTCATCTAAAGACTGGAGCCAAGGGGAAGTGGCCAGTTTCCTCTCTCTATTTCCTTCATTATCATATTCTTTAGAGTCCTTCTTATCTTACATCTCACTGTGTGGAATTACAAGCTTTCCTAGGCACTGATTGGTGTTTACCTGAGCAGTTTTCTGTGATTTTAGGTATGTCATTTGGCCTTCTCCCACAAGATTTTAAGCTTCCAGTGGTTGAGGGAGTGTGTTGTCCCCTTTTTCTTCTTTTTAATATTTTTTTAGCTGTTGATAGACCTTTATTGATTTATATGCAGTGCTGAGAATCAAACCCAGTGCCTCACACATGCCAGCCAAGTGCATTACCACTGAGCCCCAGCCTCAGCCCATCTATTTCTTCGCTTACCTTGTAACACTTAAAAGAGAAGCTAGCAGTTGTGAGCATGTGAGTGAATACTTGGTGACTTGCCTTCTAGGCTCAAGGGATCAGTGTGAGCTCTTGGTCCAGGGAAGGATGAGAGGAAGGACAGTATACCTCTGTCAGCCTTGTGGTTTCAGGGTGTAATCTCTTCTGGGGGCCCTCACTCTGTGGGATTGGGGACGACCAGTGAAACCAGCCCCCGTAGTTCTCTCTTATCTTCTCTATCCACACCCAGCCTCCTCTTCCTGCTCACCCACCTTCCAAAGTCTCTTTTTCCTACAGCAACTGAAAGTGAAGAGCTTATTGTTATGGTTTGGATATGAGATGGCCCCCAAAGGCTCCTGTGTTAATGCATGAATGTTCAGGGGTAAAATGATTGGGTTGTGAGAGCTATAACCGCATCAGTCCATTCTAGTTTGAATAGACTGGGTGGTAACTATAGATAAGTGGGGCATGGCTGGAGGAAGTGGGTCACTGGGGGTATGCCCTGGAAGGCCACAATTTCCCTGTGCTACCCCCACTTCCTGGCTGCCATGAAGGGAGTGGCTTCCCTCTGCCATGCCCTTTCACCATAATGTGCTACCTCATTTAGGGCGCAGAACAATGAACTTGGCTATCTATGGCCCTCTGAAACCCCAATTCCCTTCTCTAAGTTGTTCTTGTCCAGGACTTTGGTCACAGCTCTTCAAAGCTGATGAATATACTTGCTAATCCATGTATCTGCTTATTAGTCTGCTTATTTTCTCTTTTTCTTCCCTATGACATTTGGCATGCCATTGTTGTCTTGTATTGTGAATTTGGGACCAGCAAAGGCTAGGACTAGGCCTCTTATTCCCACACAGTTCAGTGGGTTAATCAATGCCTTTTGATAATGACAGCTGTGAGGGCCATTGCAGAATGAGGGCCCAGAGATGAGCAGCAGTTGTATTGTGGGATGCTCTATGACTTTCCTCTGGAGTTCTGAGTGGTTTTTGCCTTCTATTTCAGGCCCACCTTCCCTTTGCCGTCATTGGCAGCACAGAAGAACTGAAGATAGGGAACAAGATGATGAAGGCACGGCAGTATCCTTGGGGCACAGTACAGGGTGAGTCTCTAGCAGACAGGCTGCACTCAGGGAACCCCTTCTGTCTGTTCCTTTGCTTGTCCCCAGTCTCTGAATAATAAGACCTTAACTTGTCCCCAGCCTGTCCGCATTCAACTTGAGTCTCAAATCATAGGGGTCACTAGCAGGCAAACTCTGGCTCCATATCTGGATTTTCTGATGTGAACAGTCTCCCTTTGTTTCTCATGGAGAAAGCACCCCTAAAAGAAAAACAAATGGACATGGATCAAGGAAGGGGGGAAGTGTACAAGAAAGGACATGTTCTTGCCCAGAGGTACCAGGAGATGTGTAAGAATGTTCACAGAGTTGTTATGCCCAATGACAAGTAATTAGGAATAGCCTGATATTCATTAAAAATAGACTGGATGAGGGCTGGGATTGTGGCTTACTGGTAGAGCACTTGCCTAGCACCTGTGAGGCACTGTGTTCGATTCTCAACACTACATATAAATGAATAAATAAAATAACAGTCCATCAACAATTAAAAACATTTTTTAAAAATAGACTAGATGAGTGTGATGGTGCACACCTGTAATTCTAGCCACTTGGGAGGCTAAGGCAGGACGATGGCAAGTTCAAGGTCAGCCTCAGCAACTTAACAAGGCCCTAAGTAACTTAGCGAGACCCTGTCTCAAAATAAAAAATAAAAAGGGCTGGGGTTGTGGCTTAGTGGTAAAGAGCCCCTGGGTTCAATCCCTGGTACCAAAAACAAACAAAAGTAGACTGGATAGCCTGCACCATGCCTGCCTAGAATCCCACCAGGCATGAGGCTGAGGCAGGAGGATCACAAGTTCAAGGCCAGCCTGGCAACTTAATGAGACCCTGTCTCAAAACAAAAGGGCTAGGATGTAGCTCAGAGGCAAAGCCTCTTAGGGTCAACCCATAGCACCACAAAAACAGTAGACTGGATAAATTGTGACTTATTCATATAATAGGATATCATAAAAACAAATGAACTACACAGTTACATTTTGATGAATGAATTTCAGAAACAATGTTGAGCTAAATAAATCACAGAAGAATACATACTGTAGAATTCTGTTTTGTTTGAATTCCAAAGTAAGAAAATTAAACATGATATATATATATATATATATATATATATATTTTAAACATTTATGTTTTAGAAGTAGTTGGACACAATACCTTTATTTTCTTTATTTTTTGTGGTGCTGAGGATCGAACCCAGGGCCTCACACATGCTAGACCAGCGCTCTACCACTGAGCCACAATCCCAGCCCCCAAACATGATATATATTTTTAAGAATTTGTACATAAGTGGTAAAACTATAAAAGAAAACAAGATAAACCCTAAAGTCAGGATAGTGGTTAAGATTCATTGCCAGGGAAAGCTGGGGAATTAGGAGTGGGGCATGAGATCAGAAAGGGGAATGCAGGTATGCTTCTAAAGTATGGATACTCTTTAAACTGGGTTATAGAGACATCAGTGCACATTTCATGTCCTCTTTGGTATGCATGTATAATGCATGTATAATGCATGGTTATTTCACAATTTAAAAGCAGTCAGACATTATATATGCTCAGGACAGTTCTTTTTGTGGTCTTCCTGACAAATGTTAAGTTACCCTCAGGGCCAGTTGGTTCAGTAAATAAGACAAGGTCTTAGGGCACTGCCATGGTCTGAAGAGGTGTCTCTGGTCCTCAGAGTTGACAGCTATAAATTGGGCCACAGATTGCAGGGGCACTGTATGAGAGGGTGGCAGATTATCTGTAAACTCATCCCTACTGCTTGGCAAATAAATAGATAAATAAATAATTTTTTTTTAAAAAGGTGTAGGTGGTGAGTTGACCACATAGAATACAAAGGCTGGCATGTTTTAGAGCATGCAGAGACCTGCTAGTGATAGTTGGGGCTAAACCCAGGGCTTTGTGCATGCTAGGCAAATGCTCTATCACTGAGCTACTCCCCCAGTCTGGATTTTTTAATAGGTAGGACAGGACTGGTTATCAGAACTGTGCTATGTTTTGCTCTTCCCTGCCAGTTGGGGCTGGGAATGTTCTACTAGGAGCATTAATAAATGGTTTCTGGACTACCAGTCTTACCCTGGGAATGGGTATGTGGCCTGTGATATAGGAACCTGAGGTGAGAGAAGAGAAGCCAGCAGACGTGGTTCTGATAACTTCCTTCTACTTGGACAACCCCACACATAACCAAAACTGGGTTCTTGCATGTTTTTCTTGTCAGTCTGAGACTGTTCAGTTTTCCTTTTTTTTTTTGAGGTGCTGGGGATGGGGCCCAGGGCCTTGAGCATGCCAGGCAAGTGCTCTGCCACTGAGTTACACCCCCAACCCTGACTATTAGTTTGAATGAGGATGATGTTGCATATTGCTTTAGCAACTTACAGGGGCCTTCTGACTGACTATCAGGAATCCTTGTCCAGATTTGGAGAAGCAGGTGGCATTTAGCATGGTCCCAAGAAGTTGCCTTACTGATTCAATTTTTTTTTTTTTTTTTGGTACTGGGGATTAAACTCAAGAACACTTGACCACTGAGTTACATCCCCAGTCCTATTTTGTATTTCATTTAGAGACAGGGTCTCACTGAGTTGCTTAGCACCTCGCTGTTGCTGAGGCTGGCTTTGAACTAGTGATACTCCTGCCTCAGCCTCCAGAGTTGCTGGGATTACAGGCGTGAACCACCGCGCCTAGCTGATGCAATTTTTAATATCAGCTTATGTTCTGTGACAGCAGAATAGGGGGTACTCCAAAAGCAACAGACCTTAAGCAGGGGGATTATGTGGATCTATCTGGGCTTTGGGAAGATTTCTCTGATGACTACAAGGCAATCTGCTGAAAGTATTCACCCTATCACTCCCCAACCCCTTTCTGTTCCCACTGCCCTTTCCCAGACCTACAAAACAGAATCTGGGATGACTGATCCTGTTTATCATTTCAGACACCACCATCCCCCCCCCTGACCCCATGTTTAGGCCAAACACCACCGTCCAACACAGCAGAGCCATGTCTGGAGACATCTTGACAAAGCACTGCTCATGACCTTCGGTTCCAGCCAGAAATCCACTTTGCTGTGATTTGGTCCACATCTCTGTCATTCTTGGCCACTATCCAAAATGCAGACCTTTGCCACACTCTCTCAAGAAGGGGCCTTTTTCACTGAGGCCAGAAAGTGGGGTTCACTTTCTTCTAGCCATCATTGCTGCTCATCAGGCCATTAATTCAAACACTCCTTCAAAGCTTCTGCCATCCAAATGGGCCACCCCTGAGGTCCACCCCTGGTTGTCAACATCATCTACTGATACCCTGGCTCTTTCCCCTTATTCTTTGGAGACTTGGCCATCTGGTCATAGCCTTTGCCTGCCCCCTACATTGCCTGGGTTTGTATCCTAACTCTGTAACATAGTACTTATATAACCTTGTGAAGCCACACGGAGACCTTGCAAGGACAGTGTTCCTCATCTGCCTGATAAACTCTTATTCTTCTTTCCAGAGTCATCTTAGGAGCTGTCTCTTTGGTGAAGCTTACACTCTCCAAGGAGTTTGTAGGACCCCTCCCCCCACCACCTTCTGGGCTTCCATTTTACTCAGCTCTACCTCCATTTTCATAATTTTTGCATTGTTTAGTATTTGCCTATTTATATCTATTCTTCCACTAAACTTAAGCTCCTGAGAACAGGATTCCATTACTTTGTTTCTGAATTCCCAGGGCCCCATACCGTACTAAGAACAGAGATTCCACAAATGTTTATTGAATGGGTGTACATATGCTGTTGTCCACAAAGTGGCACAGGGTAGACAATCCTGTGATAGTCTGATTGGTGAATTTGGGTTGAGATGCTACTGAACATCCTTAGATATTTTTATGGCATTCCAGTTTTCCATGACTGCCATTTTTGTGACTTTCCATTTGCATTTTCAGTTCAAAAGCAAATTAGGAGGTAAATTCACAGGTTCTATCTACACAGATTGCAAGGCAATGTCACTGTTGGGCATGTTGCCTTTCATTTCGTCCATTTCTGCTTCTGCTGGCCTTCCTTTCAATATCCTTTCAATACCCCAATCCCTGCTATGCAGTTGAAAACGAGGCTCACTGCGATTTTGTGAAGCTGCGGGAGATGCTGATTCGGGTCAACATGGAGGATCTGCGGGAGCAGACCCACACCCGGCACTATGAACTGTACCGACGCTGTAAGCTGGAGGAGATGGGCTTCAAGGACACCGACCCTGACAGCAAACCCTTCAGGTACCGCCCCCAACAAGCCAGACCAGGCCAGCCTAGCTCAGCCCACCCAAGTGGTATGGAAACCTTGCCCTGGAGAATTGACATGGGAAGCCAGACATGGGTTCCTCCTCGCAGGAGGAACAGAGGTCACTCACTCACCAGTTCTGTTTATTCCTTCCTTCTCGGCGTCTATGCACCAGCCAAGACAGCTGCAGTGGGACAGGCTTGGGAAACACTGTGACCCTATTGATAGGTGTGAGGGAAGGGAGGGGACCCAGAGAGACAGCCTGGATGATCTCTCACAGCCCCCTACCCCCACATCCAGTCAACTGTGGGGGAAGGGATCCCTGAACTGGGGCCCTTCCCTATTCCACAGGGTGGCAGTTAGTAACTGTCTTCTGCCCTACTTTCTTCACCAGGCTTCTGTTGCTTGTGCAGGCCTCCAGTCTGTTCTTTACCCTCCTTGCCATTCTCAAAACCAGATAGGAGGGCTAGGAATATTGCTCAGTATTTGAATGCTTGCCTAGTGTGTGGGAGGCCCTGGGTTCCAGCCCCAGCCCTGAAAACACACACACACACACACACACACACACACACACACACACACACACACCAGATAGGATTAAGTAGCAGTCACTTTACCCATATTGATGAATGCAGATTCTTTATTCACTGTCCTTCATGTTTGCATTCAAGTGCAAGTTTTGTTTTGGCCACAGGATATGAATAATCACTGGCATATTTCTTAAATCAGAATCTCAGATGCTTTCAGAGAAGGAGAATGTTTCTAAAAGCAGTGTTTTATGCAGATGGAAGAGATAGACCAAGTAGAAGCACATCTGATCTATATGCAAAAGCCCTGTGTGTTAAATTACCATGTGGTGCCCTTTATGTGGCTCAGTCTCCTTTTAGGAAATGTCAGGCATCAATAAGCAAATGTAGGGGATATTTGTGAGAGAAGGCAGCTTTCCAAGGGCCTCTAAGTTCCTATAGTACCTGTTTGCAGCAGAAAAGTGGCCTGGGGCAAAGCCCAGAAGCCTTAGTTCCTAACAGGGACAGACTAGGAAAGGTCACTGGAGTCCCTGGGGTAGAGGAAGGAGAGCTTCGCTTTCTGTTCTGATGAGAGCTACCTCAACTGCTTCTTTCCTTTGCCTCCCACAGTTTACTTCTGCATCTGTGGAGTAGGAAGTATGCCTCCACCTGGCAGTTCAGTCCTGGAAGGACCTTTGCTCCATCCTTTCTTTCTTTTTTGCTTTTCTTTCTTTTTCTTATTGGTACCAGGGATTGAACCCAATGGCGCTTAACTACTAAGCCACTTCCTCACCCCTTTTTATTTAGAAACAGGGTCTTGCTAAGTTGCTCAGGGGCTCAGTAAGTTCCTGAGGCTGGCCTTGAACTTGTGGTCCTCCTGCCTCAGCCTCCCAAACTGCTGGGATTACAGGTGTGCACTACCATGCCCGCCTCATTGTGAGTAGTTCTGTTTCCATGTCTTCATCCTCTTCACTCCTCTTCCACTGATCCCTTTCCACATTGCCTGTAAATATTCCCACTCTAAAGAAGTTCTCTCTTAGCCCTGCTCTTTCTTCCTAGGTAGCTCCTGCTCTCTCAAGAAAGTTGGCTCTGGGGCTGGGGTTGTACCTCAGTGGTAAATCACTTACCTAGCATGTGTGGGGCCTTGGGTTTGATCCTCAGTACCACATAAGATAAATAAATAAAATAAAGGTATCATGTTCATGCACAACTAAGAAAATATATATATTTTTTAAAAAGGGTGGCTCTTACAGGAAGGAGAGTCATTCTGTATTTATGGCTCCTCTTCCTCTTCTCTCATTTACTTCCTCAACTCAATGCAGTCAAAGAGGTTCCCAACACCCCACGGAAGTGCTTCTCTCCAAGGCCAGCAATCACCCACTGGTAGCCAATTTCATTGGGGCCTTAAGAGTCTCATCTTCTTTGATCTCAATGCTTAACATGTGATGCTATTCCCCACTTTCTCCTTCTTGAAATATTGGCTCTTCCAGTAATGACCTGGCTGGTTTTATTCCTCTCTTTCTCTTACTACTCCCTTGTCAGTTACATTTGCAGGCTCATGTTCTTCAGCCTATTCCTTTAAATGTTGGTATTCCCCCAGGATTCCTTCTGCTTCTTTCACTCCATTCTCTTTGTGGCTGGTTCCTTCTACTTTCATATTCCTAATTACCACCACAAAGTGGATGACTCAAAAACTAAAATCTTACTTTTGAGTTCTAAACCCTTTGATCCAACTGCATACTGGACATTTCCACTCAGACATTCCATAGAGGCCCTACCAAAAATGTGAGTTGTCCATAATCTAATTCATCTCCTTTCTTCTTAAACATACTCCTTCCCCAGTGTTCCCTGTTGCAGTTCATGGAATCACCTTCCACCTGGGTGCACAAACCCAAAACCACAATCATTTTGACTTTCTTAAGTCCTGGGAGTTCTGCTTCCTTTACTGCTCCTCTACCTCCCTCCATTCCTTACCACCCCTTAACATGCAGATCCCACCGTTTTTTACTTGGATCATTGGAAGATCTCTCCTTCACAACACAGCCAGAGTGGTCTTTCTCATGGATCCAGTCAGTTCTCCTGTTTAAAACCATACAGTAGATACATGTACAGTTCTTGAATGGAGCATCCAAAGCCTGTCCTCTTCTACCAGACTCAGGAACCTCACCTCAAAATAAGTTCAGTCCAGGGGCAGAGGCCTTAGCCCAGGCATCTCCCACTAGACCCCAAGTTCCTTGAGGGCAGGAATGGTGTCCAGATGCTCAGTGATTAGCATAGTGTTAATTAGTACCATGTCTAGCACATGGTGAAGTCTTAGAAAGTATTTGTGGAAGCATTGAATTAACATGGTCAGTTTTAGAGCCAGGACTTGGCAGCATAGTTCCATGGGTGGGCCCAAATGAATAGACAGGAGATACAGCTTCTGGTCCCACCTCTGTCTCCAACTAGCCCTGTGATCTTCAGTGACTAATTTCACCTTTCTGGGCCTCAGTTTCCTCATGTGTGATATGAAGGCATAAAACCAGATTTTCTAAGTCTCTTCAGTTGGCCAAGTCCGACTTTTTCCCCTCAAGTAGCCCTACAATCCACTGTCATGTGCTGAGCCAGCTGCCTGCTGCTTTGTGGTTCTATTTTTGCATCTCTATTAAAATTGGGGGAGGATGAAGGAACTCAGGGAGGATGGTTGGAGACAGTTTTCATCAAAGAGCCCCTCTGAAGGCAGAAGGATTAACCTGACCATGCTCGCAGTTTACAGGAGACATATGAGGCCAAAAGAAATGAATTCCTAGGAGAGCTGCAGAAAAAGGAAGAGGAGATGAGACAGATGTTCGTCCAGAGAGTCAAAGAGAAAGAAGCGGAGCTCAAAGAGGCAGAGAAAGAGGTAAATGGGAACCTGGGTGCCAAGCAGGAAGGGAAGGGAGGTCCATTAGGGCGTGGAAGCCCATGACGGGCTTCACCTTGGGTAAGAGCCTTGTGGCCTCTAGGCAGGAATTGAGCACAGCTTCTGAAACCCTACCTTGGCTGGGTAGAGCTTTTTTTTTTTTTTTTTTTGGCACCAGGGATTGAACTCAGGGACACTGGACCACTGAGCCACATCCACAATCCTATTTTATATTTAGAGACAGGGTCTCACTGAGTTGCTTAGCTCCTGACTTTTTGCTGAGGTGGGCTTTGAACTCTATCTTCCTGCCTTATTCTCCCAAGCCACTGGGATTACAGGCATGCACCACTGAGCCCGGCTAGATCTGTGTCTTTTTTGCCTTTCACCTGAGGCTGAGAGGTTTTCTCTGTGTTACCTAATTCTCCAGAGCCTTGCATGCGATAATGGTAGCCACTAGCTACATGTGGTTACTTGAACTTCTAAAATTTCATTTTGTGGGGGACGGTAGTGGGGATTGAACTCAGAGGCACTCAACCACTGAGCCACATCCCCAGCCCTATTTTATATTTTATTTAGAGACAGGGTCTCATTAAGTTGCCTAGTTCCTCACCATTGCTGAGGCTGGCTTTGAACTTGAGATCCTCTTGCTTCAGCCTCCCAAGCCACTGGGATTACAGGCATGTGCCACTGCATCTGGCTGAAATTTCATTTTTAATTGACAAATGATAATTGTATACATTTATGGGATACAATGTGATGCTTTAGTACATTGTGGAATGATTGGATCGACTTATTTAACAAATCTCTCATTTACTATACTTATCATTTTTTGTGTGGTGAAAGCACTTAAAACCTAATCTTTTTTAAAAAATTTTTTTAATATTTATTTTTTAGTTTTCAGCAGACACAAAATCATTGTTTGTATGTGGTGCTGAGGATCGAACCCGGGCTGCACGCATGCCAGGCGAGCGCACTACCACTTGAGCCACATCCCCAGCCCAAAAACCTAATCTTTTTAGCAATTTGAAATATACAATAACACTTAAAACTCAGTTTATTACTCTCATTAGCCATATTTCAAATGCTTGGTTCTCCTGCAACTATTGGCTATTACTGTTATTAAATATCTGGGATTAAGGGCTGGAGTTGTGGCTCAGTGGTAGAGCGCTCACCTAGCACATGCAAGGCCCTGGGTTCAATCCTCAGCACCACATAAAAATAAAATAAATAAAATACAGGTTTTGTGCCCAACTACAACTAAAAATATTAAAAAAAATATCTGGGATTCAACCCAATGGTACTTAACCACTGAGCCACTTCCCTGGCCCTCTTAATCTATCTATCTATCTATTTATTTATTTAGAAACAGGGTCTCACTAAGTTGCTAAGGGCCTCACTAAGTTGCTGAGGGTAGCCTCAAACTTCTGACCCTCCTGCCTCAGCCTCCCGAGTCACTGGGATTATAAGCATGTGCCACCATGTCTGGCAGCTAGTGACTATTATATTGAACAACACAGATACAGAATATTTTCAGTATCACAGAAAATACTGTTGAGCAATACAGGTATAAAGTCCAGCCCTTGAGGTTAGGGCTGATTATTTTCCCTTTCCTGGGAGTTCAGAACTCTATAGGGACAACTAATGACTTTCTTGCTGACCTGTGCCATTCTACTTTCTCTGATGGCTATGGGAAAAGGTAGTTTCAGGTGGTCCTAGATAATTTGCTAAAACCTAACACAGGGACAGATGGGGCATTTTCCTGTATACTTGGGTATTCTGTTCCATTTCATTTTATAGTTTATCTGTCCAGGCCTAGCAAGTTTTTAAACTAAGGTTTGACAATCCTTCCTAAACATGTAGTTAGTTCTCTAAGCCATGACCTGGCCTCCAAGGTCTCCCCTACCAATCCACCTCTGCCTGACAGATTAACTGACCTCAGGTACGTTTGGTCATGTCAGTTACTGCTTTGCGTCTCTGGGCTTCAAAATCCTCTACCATGGGGCTGGGGTTGTAGCTCAGTGGTAGAGCGCTTGCCTCACATGCGTGAGGCACTGGGTTCGACCCCCAGCATCATGTAAAAATAAATAAATAAAATAATGATATAAAAAAGCCTCTACCATAAAGAAGAGAAACATTTAATTACTTCCCAAGTCTCTTCCATGTCTAATCTGCTATGACTCTCAAGGGTTATCACCAAGCCCATGGAAAGGATATTGATTTTATTTCAGTTTCACTTTTAAGAAGAAAAATATCACCCAGCCCTTTTAGGAGGAGAGGCAAGGGGATCTCAATGATAAATGAATAAAAGTTGCAACAAACAAAAGCTAAGTTAAACTGATGGGCAGCCCAAGTGACCCCCTTACTCCAAGTGACTAGTAAAAACCATATTATACAACAAGTTTGTCACTTACCACACCTTACTAAGTGACAATTCCAAATACCCACAGGACCCAGAATATTGACCTTCTTAATGTGTGGCAAGTGCTACAGAATCCTAAATTCTCCCCTGAATCCTCCAAATAAGGTGAAATTCTGCTTGATCTGCTCTTACTTTATAGAATAGTTTCCACATTCTAGTTTGTGACAGCTTATGGTTCTTTTGTTTTGTTGTGGTGCTGAGGATTGAACCCAGGGCCTTGTGCATGCAAGGCAGAGCCTATGGTTCTTGCACCTGATCTGTTTGTCACAGTGACATAGCAGAATATGCTTGTGGTTCTTTAGGTCTCTGGTTCTATTCAGGGTTAGTTGAGCCTCACCTCTGGTTAAGATTAGGGTGTCCACACTCATTCCATTTTATAAGATCTTTTTATCTCCTTTCATAACCAAAGCCAAGTATTTCCTTAGACCATATTTATCATTGCTGCAGTTTTCTCTGTGATCCTCCCTGATTGCAAGGGATAAGAAAAGTGGGGGCTCCTTACATATGGGAGGTCCTATTACATAATCCTCTAAAGTTTGGTTTGTCTGGACAAATGCTTTCATTTCTCAGACCTCCTGTTTCCTTATAAAATTGGATACAGTAGCAGAACCTACCTCATCTGACTGTTGTAATAATTAGCTGAGTGTGGTGGTGCATACCTATCCTCCCAGCGACTTGGAAGGCTGAACAGGATTTCAGTTTCAAAGCCAGTCTCCACTACTTAGCAAGGCCTTGTCTCAAAATAAAAAAATAAAAAGGGATGGGGCGCTCTACCACTGAGCCTTTTATTTTTTATTTTGATGTAGAGTCTCAATAAGTTGCTTAGTGCCTCACTAAGTTGCTAAGACTAGCCTTGAACTTATGATCCTTCTGCCTCAGCCTTCTGAGTCACTGTCGTTGCAGCTGTCCACCACCATGCTTGCTATGGGGATTCTTTTAACATAATGTTGGATGACACAGAACACACTGTTCCTTGACCATTTCAGAAGCAGAGATTTTGAGATAAAATACCAGGTGGAGAGAACTGCTTACAGCAGTGTGCCTTTTGATACCATCATGGCAATACCTGGTAGAAATGTGTCCTGTGGTCCAGGGGTCCTACAAAGTTGCAGCCTTGCCAGTCCTCACTCTGCTGGGTTGGAGGCTACCTTGAGGGACTTTTTTCTAATCTCTGTCTCCCTGACAGCTGCATGAGAAATTTGACCGTCTGAAGAAACTTCACCAAGATGAGAAGAAGAAGCTGGAGGATAAGAAGAAATCCCTGGATGATGAAGTGAATGCTTTCAAACAGAGAAAGACGGCGGCTGAGTTGCTCCAGTCTCAGGGTTCCCAGGCTGGAGGCTCACAGACTCTGAAAAGAGATAAAGAGAAGAAAAAGTAAGTAGCAGGCTTATCTAGGGTGGTGGTTCCTTTTTCCTTCTGCTCATCTCCCCAGAGCAGGACCCAGAGGTTGAGGGGGCTAAGGGCTGGTGACCAGGCATGAACCACATGCTTTTAGACTAATTTGAGTACTTATAACTGGTCCCCATGAAATCTTTGGTTTCCCTGTTTGGAGAACTGAGTATAGGGGAGGGTTGGGTCCCAGAGGTTCAGTCCCTCTGTTTGGGCTACTTAGAAAAACTCTGCAAAAGGGAGATGAAAATGCAAGGGAAAGGAGAGGAAAAGCAAAGGGAATGTGAGAGAGTAGAAGGGAGGAAACAAGGAGAGATGTAAGTTGTAAGGAGTGGAAGAAAAAGGAAGGGAAGATAGAGGGTGGTGGAATAAAGAGAATCTTTTAGCAGATGCCTCTGGACACCTCCTCCCCGCTCCCCACCACAAGGAGGTTGGACCTGATGTTTCCAGGCCTGCTTGCTCGTCCTGTATCTGAGGTTGCCCACGTTTCCATGCCCATAGTCCAGCTTTCACCTGCCTCAGTTCTCTCTAGCTGCAGCCAACAGAATTTAACTGCTTCCACTGAAGGCTGCATCCCAGCCCCTATTTCCCACCCTTTTCTATCCCTTCCTGCTGGCTGCTTAGTTGTGCCCAGCCTGGGGTACTGAGAACTTAGTGGGGAGCCTTCAGATGTTGGCATCCTTTGAGTACCCCATCCTCAAGCTGGGGAAGTGACTGAAAAACGAATCTGTCTCCTCTGGTACTTGGGAAAGCAGGATCAAATGTGCTCCAGGTTACAGTGTGTGTCAGTAGTCCTGACCCCACCCCTTCCTAATAGTCCTGGTCAATAGTCAGTGCTTGCTAAAGTTACCCATTCCTCATCTCAGAACCAGAGAAGAGAAAAGCTTTTCCAGTCAGATCATACAACACCAAGAAAACATCCAGCAGTGAGTGCTCTTATGCTCTCTGGTTGTTTGTATAGTGCAACCCAAGGAGCTCCAAGATGGAGTGTTTAGCAATGTCCTTACTAAATAGGACTTGCAAGGTGTCCATGGTCATTGCCTTCTTTTATTTTTTATTTGTTTTTTTTTAATTTTTAAAAAAATATTTATTTTTTAGTTGTAGATGGACACAACACAATACCTTTTTTATTTTTATGCGGTGCTGAGGATCCAACCCAGGCCCCGCCCATGCTAGGCGAGTGCTCTTCCGCTGAACCACAATCCCAGCCCCCATTACCTTCTTTTAGCCACCCATTCCTGGACTTGTCTATTGGATACTTGCCAAAAGGAAGAAACATCTTCCTTTCCTCTGTGCCTGGCTTATTACTTAGGAATAACACAGTGTACAACTTTGCATAACTGTGACTTTGAATAACTTCGTACAATTGTAAAACATTTCATATTTGAAGGCACTCGCTTTTGCAATCTAATTTTTTCACACTGGACTAACAAATGTGTCATTTGAAATCTAGAGATTTTTCATTACTGAATCTTTTTTTTAAATATTTTTTAGTTATACAAGGACACAATATCTTTATTTATTTATTTTTATGTGGTGCTGGGGATCGAACCCGGGGCCTCACATGTGCGAGGCAAGTGCTCTGCCACTGAGCTACAATTCTAGCCCCTGGTTGTTGAATCTTAATACTATATGTCAAAATTCACTGATTAATGAACTTTTTGGTATTACCTGTCATGGTTATATTAGTTGTACCAGCAGAAATGGATGCCTTCTTTTTGTGTGCGTATGTGTATGTGGTGCTGGGGATTGAACCCAGGGCCTCACACATGCTAGGAAAGTGCTCTATAGCCCTGAGCTACACTCCCAGCCGATTTTTAAATTTTATTTTGAGACAGGGTCTTACTAAGTTGCTGAGGCTGGCCTTAAACTTGAACTCCTCCTGCCTTAGCCTCCTGAGTAGCTGGGATTACAGGCATTTCCAGTATTTTTAAAATTTTTGTATTAGTTGTTGATGGATCTTTGTTTTTATATGTGGTGCTGAGAATTGAACCCAGTGCCTCACATATGCTAGGCAAGCACTCTACCACTGAGCCACAACTCTAGCCCATTTCCAGTTTTTTTAAATATTTTTTTAGTTGTAGTTAGACATAATACCTTTATTTTTTATTTATGTGGTGCTGAGGATCGAACCCAGGGCCTCACACTTGCAAGACAAGTGCTCCACCACTGGCCACAGCCCCAGCCCCCCATTTCCAGTTTTTAAGATCAGAAAATTTACCTTTGGGGCTCTAATCTTCTGCCTTTGTAATCCCGTGGTTATTTGTTAATTGTATCCCTGGGGCAGTTGCCCACTTGCAGGAATTGGGAGATAATGTATTTTGCTCAGAGGACACTGACACTAAATAAATAATAATAATAAATAATAAATATTCCCCTTTCAAAATGTTTTGTGAGAACTCTCCTCAGACCAGGCTTTCTTCTTATTGCCTCAGATTATCTGACTTTCCCCCAACCCAAACAAAAGACCCTATATAGGGAAATACCTCTCCAGTCTCCAGAAATATTTGGGGTTGGTAATGGTACCCATTTCCAGTTCTGAGATGGGTGAAAACCTTGCTGGGACGTGGTACCTCGTATGAGCAATAATGGCCTAAAAAAATAGCCAGTCCTCTTCCACACTCCAAAATGTATAAGTAAACCCAGGTCTGGGCTCCTTATATAATTCCATGAACAATTGATTAACTTCTGGAAGACCCACCATTAGACCTGTGCCACTCTGCTCCCATCATGATGGTGGTGGTGAGTTTTGAGGATAGATATGGTGGTAGTAGATTTCTTCTCAAGAGTGGGCAGGTGGATCTAGTAGAGTCTCATATTCAGGAGATCCTTTGGCTGCTATTAGAAAGATCAAGAAAGAGTACCAGTGTTTGAGGGGTGCCTAAAAGTCCACCCTTCCCTTTGCCCCTCCCTGCACTCCTAATCTCTTTGATCTCTAACTCTTCATTGTGTCAACTCATAATAGTTGATTTCTCTTCGTGCTCACCCCACCTTCATTAGCTCTTACTGTTTTACAGTTAACTCTGCTGTTTGCTGCATGCTGCATGAGACCCAGGGTCCTGGTAAGCTTTATTAACTCTAAGTAGAACTGGCAGTGGCTCCTAGAACGTATCTCCCCAAACCCCACACCCCTAACACACATATCTAATCATAAAAGAAACTACTTCATTAGATTAGCTGGTTTCCTCTTATGTCTTATGATACGAAGAAATAGCCTGGGGTGGTTTCAAGCATATTTGTGGAATGTCTGCCTGCCTGCCTGATGAAAAGGGGGGCTTTTGCAGACTTTTGCTGATATAGCATAGATGTGATCATGATTTGAGGTTTCAATTGTGGCCTTCTTTCTTTCTTTCTTCTTCTTCTTTTTTTTTTTTTTTTTTGATACTGGGGATTGAAACCAGGGACATTTAACTACTGAGCCATATCCCCAGCCCTTTCTTTTTTATCTTTTATTTTGAAATAAGGTCTTGCTAAATTGCTCAGGGCCTCGCTAAATTGCTGAGGCTGGTTTTGAACTTGTGATCCTCTTGTTTCAGCCTCCTGAGCCGCTGGGATTACAGGCCATTTTTTTTTTCTTAAAGATACATAATCATTCAAAATTAACTGGTGATACAAGAAACTGTCCTACAGTGGCATTGTCAGCATTAATCCCAGATTTGGAAATGTACAAAGCTGATGTAAACTTGATTCTGTTTCCCTCTGGTGGCTGTTTCTTATCTGAGGAGTTCAAGTTCTCCGTTTTCCTTTTGGCTTTCCCCCCAAACTGTAATCAAAGAGGAAGAAAATGAAGAAACATAGATATTATAGAGGTGGTCTTACATTTAATTCTACAAGTACCATCTTCATGAAAACCTCTGCTAAGGAAGGGGTATCCTTTGGTAAGGATTCCTGAGAGCTAGGTGTTATATCTAGAGAAGTAAATAAAGCTGTCCCTGGTGTCAAGTAGGTCACGGGGAGGCTGAAAGCAGTGATTAAGCACCTTCTATCTACTTTGCTAGGCTCAGGTAATGGAGGAACAGGAATATAAATATTTTTCATTTAACATAATTAGGCTTCTTATTATTTAAAAAAATCTTGCCATGGAAACTTCCAAGCGTGAGCAAAAAGAGAGAGACTAGTTCACTGCAGCCTTGTGTACCCACAATCTAGTCACCAAATAAACCATCAACATAGGGCCAATTATATTTCATCAATTACCCCAGACCTGCTGAATTATTGTAAGGCAAAACCTCTGTCATTTTATGTGTACATGCTCTAGTATGTATTTCTAAAAGATAATGACTCCAAAAAAATAATAATAATAATAGCCACACTCCCACCATTATCACACCTATAAAATTAACAATAATTTGCTAACATAAAATGTCTATTTAGTGTTTGAAATACCCTGGTTGTCTCGTAAAGGCCTTTTTTACATTTTGTCTGCTTGGACTGGAGAATATAAAATATTGAGAAGACTTCTCCCTGCTCACCCATGCAGTTTATGATTTTAGATGGAGAGCCTGCTGTTAGTCACCAAACTGATTGCTGTAGCTATTCCACTGGCAACTTCAAGCAGCTGGCAAAACATCCTACTTTCAAGCAAATCCCAAAGAGACAGTCCATCATAGAGGCTTCTGAAATGTAAGGCCCATGAAATCCGGCCAAACATAATGATCCTAAAAAAACAATGAAATATGTCATGTATATCTAAAAGGAACAACAACAAAAACAATGAAATTATTTACTGTCTATCTTAACGGCAAGTCTCAGAGCCCATACTAGTTGACCAGAATTAAACAGCAACTCCCCATTTGTGCCTAGCAAAGTGTCTGAGGGCTGAAGGTATCTGGGTGGTGGGGAGCTCATAATTACTAGGTTAGGACCTAATTAAGAAGAGATTTTTAAAAATATTTTTCAGGTTGTTGATCTTTATTTTGCTATCTGATGCCACTACTGCTGTCAAACTGGGTTATGTCGGTATAGGAGAGAGAAAGCATGTTCCCAGGAGCCAGTTCAGTATGAGCTCAAGGCACTCTAACATAGCTGTATTCTAAGTTATCCACTAGTCATCATGACAAACAATTTTCTTCTGATCACCCCCTTTTTGGGTATATTAATCCACCCATTCATTAACCCAGCTTCTCTTTTCATTTTTAGTTTGGGCTTCCCATAGATGCACCCTTTCCCGTGCAACACAACTGAGCCTCCCTTTCTCTAATTTCCCTTTAACATGTCTCCAGGGACATATGCACCATGCCCTTCCCTCTCGTCTGTGAGAGTTTATAGAAGCCTGAGAGTCAGAGGATGGTTTCTGGCCTCTGGTCAAAAAGTCAGCAGTCACGTGACTCAGAAATGCATCTCAGTTCCTTCTCCTAGGACCTCCAGTCATCCATTCTTCCCACTATCCCCTTCACATTCCTTCTTGCCATTCAGAGGTCCCATCTGCTACTCTTTGTCACAGTTTCCCTGTTCAAACTCTCATTGCTCCTTGTTTCCCTTAGGTATTTGCATCCACCATGGCTGAGTAAGCACCAGTCAGCAAAGCTGTCCCCTTAGTCTCCTGTGTCCCAGTCGAGGTCTTCCCTGCCCCCTTCACTAACCTGAGAAGCCACAGCCCCTTTTTAGAGAGCTCCAAAAGGAGTCCAGCCCTTTGCAGTTTTTATTCAAAGTAACTGCAGTCAAACTATCTTAAAAGCCATGAGTTTATTTATACCAAACCTGGAAGCATAAAACGCAATTTCTGAAATAAATAGCATAAATTTCCCCTCTCTAACTCTGGGTACCTGACAAATGCAGAAGGGAGAATAAACCTGAATATTATTACCAGACTAGAATCTTGAAGGATAGACTTATAAGATTCTTCTAAGGAATGTTCGCATCTCCTTGGTCATTTCCCAGGGAACTCCATTCAATCCTAATAAGGCAGGGCAAGTAGCAGGGATAATAATCCCATTTTCATAAACTGGAAAGCCAACTGATCGAAGACTCAAGAGCTTGAATAAGTCTTCTTGTCTCTTTGGTGAATATGAGGATGATTGTAATGTGTGCTTTGTGCATGTCCCCAGTAAGAACATGCAAGCTTATCAGTTGGAGGGAAGAAAATAGGTGTTGTGCCTTAGAAGGTCCTTACCTTTAGGTCTAATAATTTGATGTTTAAAAAAAATTTGCCCTAATTTTAATAGTAGGTCCCATCTAATAGTGGCTTTGGGAATCCCTCTGAAATAGAGAGCCCTCTCTTGTCAGGGTCATGAGGCACAATGACCTTTGGTGTTTCGGCAGTGACAGAGTGAGAGCTGGAGACGACCTAGCAATGATCTGTGGCTAATATGCAGTCTCTCTGCCCTTCCTTTGCAGTAATCCATGGCTGTGTACTGAATAGTATCCCCTGCTACAGCTGGACTGGACTCCACTTAGGCTTTTAAGCGAAGGTTCCTATTTTAATTGACAGCTTTCCTTTGGGGTGCCAGGCGATCGGGCATTCCAACCCTGCTGTGTACTTCAAGCCCCACTTTTTTTTTTTTAATTTCTTCAACTTGCTCCTGCCTCCCAGTCCCACTGACACAGACAATGACCTTTTTCTTTTTTCTTGTTTTTTCTTTTTTTTGGGGGGGGGGTTGTTTTGTGATCACAGAGTCAAGAAGGCTATGCCAAATTTCTAGGCCTTTTTGAAGTGTCAAAAAAGAGGAAGGGATTTCTTTATTCAATAACATATTACTAAATAGTAGGAAGAAAAAAAACAGCAGAAGAAAGTAGAAAAACTGAAAAGCAGACATACATAGGCTTTTCTCTTGTTGATAATGCAAGAACTCACTTCTGTTATATATTGGTTGGTGAGTCAAGGATTGGTTAGTGGTCAGAGGCCAGCAAGATTGTGATGCTGCCAAAGCACATACTAGTTTCTTGGGAAAATTCAAGTCACAGTGGAGCATTTTAGGAGACACAATACTTGTTGGTAAAAACGAACCACCACCATCAAAACCCTCATAAACAAAAACCAAAGAAATCCTCAGCAGTAGCTCAGAGTTAGGGCTGTCAGGTCTCCTTGAGAAAGACTCCTTATTTACAGCTTTGATGTTCCTAAATCCACCTTTGAGGTTACCAACCAGCAATCACCATCCTTCTGGGTAATTCTGGGCATTACAAACAGGAGGCCCCCTCATTTGCATTTGTTTACAGATTGACCACTTGAGGCTTGAGGATCTCAAAATACTTCAAAAGTATTAAAGCCACATTGCCTTTGGGAGACCTTCAGAAAGTAAGCAGGTATTTTATATAAAAGGGAGAAATTTGGGTAAGACAGATATAACCCAAAGAGGAAATTGAGACCCAGAGAAGCAAAGGGAATTGCCCAAAGTCCTGCTGCTGTTTCTTGGCAAAAATCAGGCTAGATTCCTTGTCATCTGTTTCACCAAGGGATTCAGTCTGTTTATATATATTCCTGGAGACAAGGTCTTTTGATGTTCAGAGAAACCAAATCATCAGTGTTAGAGGACCCTAGAGTGTGTTTTTCCTCCATAGAAAAGCATGAGGAGGGGACAAGTGGGGGCTGCGAAGGAAGAAGCTCCAGGCCAGCTCCTTAAAAATAGTCAAGCCTTTTAAAAGCATCCAAATGCTTGTTTCCTTGGGTAGTTTTTCTCACGTAGACATTTTTCCCCCTCTCCACTGAAAAGGCTTGTTAATTAGTACCATTGTAACTATTTTTTAAAAAATACCCTAAGTTCTCTGTTTACTTCTGGTGAAACTAAACCAGTCATTAGAAATGGCCTGTGCTTTTCTTTTCCCAGACTGGAATGGAATGGCTTTAATGATAAACACACACACACACACACACACACACACACACACACACACACCCTTCATTTCTTTTAAGCCAAGAAGGTTGCTTTCCCCAGCTGCAGGTTGGATCACGGTTTTTGCTTTTTTGTTGTTGTTGTTGTTGTTGTTGTTTGTTTGTTTTTATCATTTAGCATTCACATGTGGCTGTTAATATGTGCTTGTTTTTAATTAAAACAAGAAGCTTTAAACTGGTGTGTGGTGTTCTTCAAACCTTCTCCACAGATTTTCCCATGGTGATGGCCCCTCACTGACCCCATTTCTAACCTGTCTTCTCCAAGTGTAGTCTGTGCTACCTCAACACTGCCCACTCCCCTCCCCGTCTTACTTTGAATGTCCTTTTTCTTTGGCTAATTTCATGTTTTCTTTCTCTTTCTCTCTCCCTCTCCAGCTTTTTTTAATCTTGTCTTCAGCAGCTGCACTAAGTCTAAAGGAGAAGACTGCCATTATAGAAGAGTTAGGGTTCCATATTGTCTCAAACCAGAAATCGACCAATTCCCTCTCCCCTAAACTGTGTGCACTCACATGTGCACACATGCACACACACACACATACCACTCAACAAGTGTCCATGTGTCCCTGTGTCCAGGCAAGAAGCTCTCTTTTGACTTACATGGTATTTTAAATTGGAAGTGTCTTGTCCTAAACTAACAAGGCAGGAAAAGACTCATCAGAGCTGGAAAATGGACCAAATGTAACCTCAGAGAGACAACTACAGGACCACTCACCCAAGTGTAAGTGACTGGGGTAGGAGACCCCAGCTGTGGGTGCGGAAGTGCTGTTCACAAGGTTTCAAGTTTTTATGTTTTTCTTTTGCAACAATTCTCTGGTTCAATGGGTTAACTGTCTCTGGCTATTATTAAACATTTTTGAACATGGAAGAGAGAGTTGAGTGACATTTGCATCTTCTCCAGCATTCACAGGCCTTCTGCAGACCCCAGCAAGGGGGAAAAATGGACCCACTATCTAATATTCAGGCAGAGAAAGGAGAGAGGAGAGGGGATTTAAGCTTAGTGAGGGCAGAATTATTCCATTCAAACTTCCAAGGCCATTGGGGGCTTTGCAAGAGGTTTCTGTTTAACCTGGGATCTGGAAAGAGAGGATAAATCTGCCTTGAATTCATTGGTTTAATTTGCATCAAAATACCATGTGAGTGTGCTCATTCCCATATATCCCTACCACCATCACTACCGGTCCACTGTCCAGTGTCTCTTGAGAGAGCCTCTTTGCATGTTTTTCAGAATCTGTGTTTTTCCTTTCTTCTTTGTTCTTTTTGCTCAAAGGTGTGACCAGTCACTATCCCTCTGGGGGCTTTCATTTTCCAAGAGAAACATCCCAGAACCAGCACTGTTTAGCTTGATACCTTTCTAATGTCCATGTCAATTTTCAATAAAATTCAAAGAAATGCTAAATGGCTCTGTGATCTGATCCTAAATTATTAGGTCATGTGGCTCACCACAGTTTGCCTTAGGAAGAGTGAGTGGTTGCTTCCCAAATGGATAATTTGAGAAACTCAGGGGAGCCAGGAGCCCATGAAGTCTTCCTTGGTGGGTTACCACAACACCGTCTTTCCTCCATTTGAGCCTCAAATTCCCACTGGGGCTGGGTGGATATGAGCAGGGAGTTTTCTACTTTATTAGCATGGGTTTAACTAATCAGTTGACCTAATTATCATCGGGATAACAGATGAAGAAAGTGGAGTGCCCCATCCTATGGAACAAGATTCAGGTGAGTTTTAATTCTAGAAGGAAAATAACTCTGCATGTCTTCTTTCATTTAATCTCGTGATACAAACATTCCCCCAAATTCATGAATATGACTGTTCTTTATGACCCAGAAAGCATTCTGTAGATAGTAGGCTGTATTTTAGGTCTACCAGAGAGGGAAGCCTCCCATTCCCCCAGGAATTAAAGTGGGCAAGAGGGAGAGTGATCACTTTACAGAATTTGGATGCAAACGAGGTGAGGCTTATTTCCTTCAGGCTTTTTTCCCCTAATAGCCAGGTGCTGAATGAAGACTGGACTAGCTGTTCTCATCCTTTGTAAGGAAGCCTGGAGGCCTCTGCAGGATACCTTAAGAAACAACATTGGCCTGTTTCTGCGCTTTTCGAACACTAGGGGGCAGCCGAGTGAGGCCATAATCGCCTGTGACGTCACAGAGCAGAGGCATGTTCTGAGGTGTGGAAAAATACAGACTTGAGCCAGAAGGACTTGCTGTGTCCTCAGAGGCAAGTTGTTTTCACAGATTCTCTAGAAATGGGGTATATCATTGATTCCCTCGTACAGGCGTTATGAAGACTACCTGTGCTAACGTAAGTTATAGACTTGGTTATTCAATAAAGGGGATCCCTTATTAAGGATGGCGTTTTCCCTGCACTAGAAAGTATTTACCTTAGGGTCCTCTAATCCCAGGTTTCTCAATCACAGCACTATGGAAATCTGGGACCAGTTAATTGTGTGGGGCTCCCCGGTGCATTGTAGAGTATTTAGCACTATCCCTGGCCTCTACCCACTAGATGTAGGTAGTATCTACCCATAGACACACACACACACACACAAACAAACACAGTTGTGACAACCAAGAATGCTTCCAAGAGTCATCCCATGTTGAGAATCATTACTTTAATCTGAGGGTCAGCAAACTTTTTCTGTAAAGGGCCAGTTGGCAAATACTTTGGGCTTTGTAGACCATATGATCTCCACAACCATTCTCCTGTCACTATTGCAGGAAAACAGCCATAGATATGGTGTAAAATGATGAATTTGGCTGTGTGCCAGTAAAACATTAGATGTTGAAATTTGGATTTCATATATTTTTCACATAGCATGAATTACTTAATTTTTTTCAACCTTTAAAAATGTAAAAAACGTGTAGCATACGAGTCATACAAATACAGAAAATGGGGCCATATTCCACCTGTGGGGCGTATTTTGTGCATCACTGAACCTAAAAGTGCTAGAAGCAACTGGCCTCTCAAAAGAAATTGGAAAAGAAGACAAATGATGAGGGCTGGGGATGTGGCTCAAGCGGTAGCGCGCTCACCTGTCATGCGTGCGTCCCGGGTTCGATCCTCAGCACCACATACAAACAATGATGTGTCCGCCGAAAACTAAAAAAAAAAATATTAAAAAAAGAAAAAGACAAATGATGAGTTTTAATACAAGGTAGTGGGGAAAATTGGTTTGAATTTACTAAAATTTTGCTGGAGCATAGATGTGGGGTATGGGCCTGTTGTGGTGACCAGAGCCTGCTCCTGAGATGGAAAGTTGCTGAGCAGCTGCAAATGCCATCATTCATTTCTAAGGAGAGAAACTAAATCTCAAATACCCTCAAAAAGGCCTATCAGGGCTCCGGTAGTAAATGCTCCAGTAGGCAATGTCCTTTCCTATTGGAAATTCCCCACTTGGGAAGATTTGCCTTTGCTAAAAGGACAGCTTTCTTGCAAGGCCATTGTTTTTTAATGTGGGCACTCCTTGAAATAGTTACACATTAGGACAATAGTATCTCAAGTGATTTTTGGCACCTTCCATCAGTATCCATCTAAGACTTGAACTACCTCTATGCTTGTTTGACTTGGACTTTAGAAAGTCCTTGGCCTATTTGGGTGTGCTGGTGCACACCTGTAATCCCAGTGGCTTGGGAGGCTGAGGCAGGAGGATCACAAGTTCAAAGCCAGCCTCAGCAACTTATCGAGGTCCTAAGAAACTTAGCCAGACCCTGTCTCAAAAATTTTTTTAAAAAGAGCTGGGGATGTGGCTCAGTGGTTGAGCAACCCTGGGTTCAATCCCCAGTACAGGGGGGGGGGCAGTTCTTGCCCTAGGCACAATACCTACAGAAAATCATGGCAACTATGACAGAACTGGAGTCAAATTTTTTACCTTGGTTTGGGGCTCAATAAAATCTTTGGTATGAGATCTAGTTAGACACTGCCCTTAAGGAATATTACAGACTGGCCTCCTCTTGTCTACTCAATCATATTTTCCAATAGTTCCTAACCCCTATTCTCCATTCCAGGCCATTTAGTCTCTGCACAAGCCTCTCCCATAATTATTCAAATTGCTGTCTCTGTATGTAATATCTTCTACTGATTTAAAATCCTCCCTTTGAGGCTTATGCCCTGCTTCTCCATGCAACCTTTCTTAATCTCATCCACCTATCCTGATTTCTTCTCCATTTTCAAAATTCCTAGTTGATCTTGTATAGCCTCCTCTGCTTCTTGTTTGAGGGACTTCCCTCCTTGAGAGATGTTAAACTTCCTAAGAGTAAAGGCATCATTTATAGCCTTCCAGAGGTCCCAGTAAAGGGCTGAATAAAAAGTGATTAAGAGGCAGCTTGATTTATGTTCTTGACCAGCACAGGGAACTTTTGTATTTTCAAATGATTTATTTGAAATTAAGTTACAAGAATAGTACAAAGTTTACTCCATACTGTCCACCCAGATTCACCAATTGATAACATTTGGCCCCAATTCATTTATCATTTGTTTGTGCCCACCATACATACAGATAAAAAGGATTTTCTTTTACATAACCACAGCTAGTTATCAACTTTGGTAAATTTCACATTGTTACAATATTTTTTAATGTGTTGATAACATTCTATGTGGGCATTTTCCCTTGCAGTACAGGATCTAGCCTAGGATCACTTTCTTTGCCTTTTATGATCTTGATCTTTTTGCAGTCCTATTTTAAAAATACAATCTTCTTATTTTGAGCCAATTTGTTGCTCAGTTTCTCCGTTATATAGTTACAGCCTTTCTTCTACTTCCTTATTACTAATGAACAACCTGTGGGGAGAATTATAAATCCATGCAAATATTTTTCTACTCATCAAAAATTTCCCCCTGGATTTAGCATCTGTTGATAATTCTTGCCTGAATTCATCTGCAAAGTGATGATTTTCCAACTCTAGCCCTCCTTCCATATCTACCACAAGATCCTTCCTGTCTCTCACTTATTTATTTTTGCATTGCTGGGAATAGAACTCAGGGACTCCTGCATGCCAGACAAGCAGACTACGACTGACCCATATCTCTAGCCCTCTCCCATTTATTTATTTTGTACTGGGGATTGAAGCCCGGGGCACTTAACCATATCCCTAGCTCTTTTTAAAATTTTCTCTCTTGAGAGAGGGTCTTCTAAGTTGCTGAGGTTGGCTTTGAACTTGCGATCCTATCTTAGCCTCCCAAGTC